ATTTCACTTCAATGAGGTACTGCATTAGATATTCTATTCCAGTTCGATCTCATTTCATAGGCAAGGTACTCATTCGTTTTGAAACGTGAATTTATTCGTTTGCTTCATTAGAATGGTTGACACAATTAATTTTCGTGAATTTATTTTTTTTTCTTTTCGAGAGCATAAAATAAATACAATATACTTGGTCTGGGTAAACAACAACTAATTGGTTTATCTCTCATTTACGAATTACGAAGAACTTAATATTATTCTTAACATGTTAATTCATTATTCGGTTTAATTTTTACCTAATAGCTTCCTGTTATACCGACGTTATACCGACGGTATTGTTACGCCCTGATAAGGAATTTGTCACCAACAGCCCTCTTTACTCTTAGTCATCGCTGACTCCGAAGAGATCACAGAGCCTTCTCCTTCAAACTGATTCACCATCGACCCTAAGACCCGATTAGGCCCCTCCACCAAAAACAATATGTATAAAAGACCCCGTACAGAATAAAGCAAGATCATTGTGTTTCGAAAAGTTACGGCTATATCGAACCTCTGCCCGTTAATCCTCTTTCCACGGAATTAGGAACCGCGTAAGTGGAGCAATCTTCGATTTTTTAAAGTTTTGTGTCCCGGTCCCCGTGACAGTATCGATACATTTGTTCACGACGACGATCGGCCGTCATATTCGAAGCTGTCGCTCACGCTGTCGCGCGACTGGGTCTATACGCGCTCTCATTGGTCAGTGTTTTTTATTAATAATTCAAAAACTAAGCTTTAACCAGCAATTTGGTAAAGAAAAAAGTTGTTCAGAATCACCCCAGCTACCACCCCCTAAAATTATGCCCACCAGTAGCCGAACACCCTGTATACAGTATTGATAGTAATAAGCAACTCGTTAGGGTCTGGCGAATTGCTTGTTACGAATCAGGTATACATATTTTCGGCTTGTCTTTGTTCGCAAGCGCGACGACGGTAGCGGTAAACTATAAAGTAATCGGTCGAGCAGCGATGTTATTTTTTAGACAAGGATAGAACATAGCATACTTTCTCTTTTTAATAGTAGTAAATTTTCGTGAATAGAATAATATACCAGATTCGTAACAAGCAACTGCCCAAACCCGAGCGAGTGGCTTATTACGAATCGATGTAGAATCAAATGAATCGAACACGCTGCAATTCCTAATTTGTCACACTTCGCTTTATTTTTTTACAATTATGTGAATATTAACATATACCTACATGTGTATGTATTGTGTTATTATTGCAATTGTAGTTTATTGAAATAAAATAGTTTAAGAAATATTGATGTACAAAAATGGTAGGCCATAGCCGTTACTGTGACAATAAAGCAATTTGGAAAAATTACGGTTGAATGAGTAGCTAGTTTTATTACCATTTCAGTGTACATAGTTCATATAGTATTATATATTGTATATAGTGTATTACACTTAAATAGTTTTTTCTTCAAATTTTTTTTATTTTTGTTAAATAAATTAATTAAAAATATAGATAAAAATGTACCTCAAATTATGGATCACTGTCAGCCATTAGATTTAAAAAAAAGCATATTGATATAATATAATTTCGGAGAATATACTTTTCATAATATGACAGAATCGCCATTGCATCAGAGTGAGGAAACAATATAATGTACCGGATTCGTAACAAGCAACTGGCCAGACCCGAGCGAGTGGCTTATTACGAATCAATGTAGAATTAGATGAATGAACGGCAGAATCGCTATGCATCAGAGTGAGAAAACAATATATACGTTCTGTCCTCTTTCCACTAAACTGTTCGGTCGTTCGTGAAAATTTATGACTTCTTCGGTTTCACGGACCTCTCACTCTTTCTCGGATCTCTCACTCAGCGGCCGACTTCAAACAAAGAAGAGGGGATAGAAATTTGCTTGTTACGAATCAATACTGTATGTTACAGAACTCGAAAAAATTTTCGACGAGAATTTTTTTTTTCAGCGAATATCCATTTCGAAGTGGTGAAAATAACCCATGAAGTTGGGGTTAAAAAATCTATTTTCGCAAATATTTCGGGAACTATTAAGCCTAGATAAAAAATTAAAAATGCAAATTTTCCTATTTTGGAAAGGCAGTAATATGGCGTAAGCGGATTCTTGAAAAATTTGTTCATTTAAAAAATATGTTAAAAATTAACATGTTAGCGTCAAGCCGTGTGCAAAGGTGGCACACGTGTCAGGGTCATCGTATCCCGGATTTTGACCCGGTTCTTAGGGGTCTTGGGATGACGATAATATAAACTCATGTCCGTCATCGAGCTAAGGATCGGTGGTAACCGATAGCTAAGGACCGCGACGAATTCTAAGAGTCGCGAATGTTATGGTTAGAGGTCGATGCCTTCTTCTTTGAGGATCACCGAAGGTGTCGTGTCTCGTGGCCGATGACCCGACGTCATGGTGCTGCGTGGCACGTGCACAGAGATTAGGGTATTCTAGTAGGATCTGGTCACAGAGTGGGGAGGATATTGAATCCTTCGTTAAGCGGACCTTGAGGGACAGCAAGGCACTTAACCCAGAACTTTCGAAGAATACGGATCGCTAATTATCACAAAGACTTTTTATCTAACAAACATTATTTTGCAATGTTTAAAAATGAAACGTTTAACTATTTTGGTTAAATTTCACATACGTGAACTATGGGTTTAAAGAAAAAATATGGACAAATTGGAATTTATAGTATAACAATTTTTAGTATAGTATAAATAATGCAACATAATACGATTTCCAATATATTATATACATATAGATAGAAATGGTATATATGTATATAATAGAAATGGAAGGTATAAAATGAACGTATAACTCGAACCATAGTAATATTTTTTGCATGAGAGAAATGAAAAATTCCACTTTATCCGTATCTTTTCGTTGGACTCATAGTTTACGCATGTGAAATTTGATCAAAATAGTTCAGCGTTTTACTAAAAAAATTTGCAAAATAATGTTAACTTTTACCATATTTTTTAAACAAACAATTTTTCAAAAATCCATTTGCACCATATTACTGGACTTCTAAAGCAGAAATATTTGTATTTTGAATTTTTTGTTTAGGTCTAATCTTTTTCAACTACAACCTTAAGGGTTATTTTCACCACTTCAAAGAGAATCTTCACCGATAAAAAAAACACGTATCAAATATATTTTGGAGTTCTATAACATATCAGCATTTCATAAAAATCGGCATGTATCAATTGAGTGATGTTCCTCGTAAAT